GGTTTGAAAACTAAGTCGAAAAATCCACTTTTCCAACACTTAAAGCTTGAAAAATGTTAAATTGTATATTTGATTGATAAAATAATAATTGTCTAACTTGCATTCGTTTTCTTTTTTTTTTGTTTGTTGGTTTGTTTGTTTTGTTGCAAATTCGAGATTAGATATGGACGTGTTTGGTAATCTGGAGAGCAGAAGCTTGCTCATTTTGTGTTTTTGTTCATATTACCTTACATGTATTTTGATTGCATTGTAAATTTTATATTTTTGTGGGTATTATGAGACAAGTTCTGTAATCCGCACTTGATATTATATTTGTGTGGATATTAGTAGACACGTTTTTTGTGGATATTAGGAGATGTGTTTGGTAATTCACATGCAGTTGATATTGTATTTTTGTGGATATTGTGCTGAAATTCGACTGTGGTGTTTATGAAAATGAACAGATTTTTGTTTTGATTTGTAATAGATATTTTATTGAACAGGTTATTGAGATGCGCAGGGAATTTTTAGTGAAAAGAAAATTTTGAAATTGAAAAAATTATTCCCATTTTAAAAATTTTTAATTATTATTAGCGACAAAAAAAATGTCGCTATTAGTTTTCAAACAACATGACGAATAATTTTGTCACTAATGATATAGTACCAAACAAATAATTTCATTATATTTGCTGAATATTTCGTTGCTAAATTGAAATATTTGGCGACAAAATATTTTTTTGTCATTGAAATTTTTTCTTTTGTGCTCTTTTTGGCGACGAATTTTTTTGTCACCTTAATCTATATCATTGGTGAGGATAAATTTCAACACTAAAACCTATTTAGTGACGAAATATTTCGTCGCCAAAACAATTAAAATAAAATATTATCTAATTTTAGTGACCAAATTGATGTTATAGAGGATAAAAATGCAACATTTAGAGATGAAAAAGTTCGTCGCCAAAAAAGAAAAATAGGAGACGAAACTATTTTTCGTCACCTGGTACTTTCTGCGACAACATATAAGCAACAATCGTGGTAACAAAATTTTTTCGTCACAGATCACTTTGGTGACGAAAATTTGATGTTTGGAGACAAAATCAGTCTGTCACCAAAGCCTTTTTTTGTTTTAGTATCCGCATAAAACATGTCCTGAAAAGAAAAAGAAATTAGTACCCTTCGAATCACAAGAGAACGAAAGAAGGAAAGTTGACAATGAGCCTGAAATGGATGAAAATCTAGTACAAGTACTTTTTTTTCAGAAGATAGAAGACAATATGCTCAAAATGGAAAAGTTATAAATGGAAAAGGACATCCTTCAAATTGCAAATGATAACCTGCAACAGCAACTCAAGAAGTTGACAAAAGACATGCAAGATCAGCAAAAAACTACAAAAAATCAAATGCAAAGGAAAGATGAAGAAATGTAGATACTCCATGAGAGAATTGCAATCTTGGCTGAGGCAAACAAGTACTCGAAAGAACAACACACACAAGAACAGCCTACAATGAAGAAATTGAAAACTTCATACGAAGTTTTCAACATCCTACCAAAAAAATAAAGACAAAATCTCATTGCACATTGGGTGAATACAAAGAAAAAGTAACAGTCTTCTCTTTTGACTCCTGTAGTTCACTTTTTCTAACTATTTATCATTAACTCATATTGTATTTATAAGTATCAAATATTCCAAAAATATTAATAAATTTAATATTCCAACACTAATAACTCTTTTTTCAGGGATAAGCTAGTGTGGCAAGGAGCTGACCATGCAACCTATCTCTATTTAAATGATATTGACAAACTATTGAAAAGTGAAGATTTTGCAGGCATTATAAGTTGAATTTATAACTCATTAAAATAACATTTTACTGTTTGATTTATATTAATTCCTTGTTTTGTTTTTTTATTTTCAACACAGGTAATAGACACATATGCAAAACACTGGCTTGCACAAAAACAAGGAACAACACCATTCATATTCATTTCAAGTTACCATGTAAGTAATACATATTATTTGTCATTTTTTCAGATATTTGTGTATTGTTTAATGAAAAAATTCTTTGTAATCTTCACGGCATCTCATCTATGCTAGGAAATTATTCAAAAAATAAGTTTTATCAGTGTATAACCTCTGTTTGCTTAATTGAATAATGAATTTTGCAATGCAATGATAAATTTTGATATGAAATGATAAAATTTTGATCATAGTAATAAATTTACTTAATTTTGTGGCAACAAATTATTTAAGCTTTTCTGTTTATGTTGTGTGGTTGAGTTCATTGTTGTGACTTTATAATACTTTGTTTGCTTAATTAAGTTAAAAACAAAGTATTATAATTGATATTAAGTACTTCAATTTATCACTATAAATTGCATGCTCGCCACCTATTTAATTTGAAAAAGTTTAAATTAACATTATTTTTTTATTTATATTTATTAGCACTTGTTGACAACAAAAGAAGAGGAAACAACAAAGAGAATGTTGAACAAATTGATACTTGAAGCCATGAAAGGAATATACCTTCTCTTCCTAATCCATCAAAATTTTCATTGGACAATACTTGTCCTTGACATTGAAGAAGGTTCATGGAAATTCTACAAATCCATGAGACCAAAGGAAGCAATGCGTAAAGATCCACACTCCAATGCCGCAAATGAAATGGTAAAAATGTTTTCACTATCAAACTTACCATTAATCCAATACATCAATCCTGATGCATGCTCAATTATACATCAAAAATTTATACAGTAATGTATTTATCATTCTTTAAATACATGGTTTCTCATTAATTGTTTCTACTGAATTTCTAATAGAACAATAATACAAATCTATGTGCTGTAAAGAAAGATTATTGACAAGCACATAAAGGATGAGAAGCCAATTCTCATCGCCTCTGATAAATTTCAACAGGAGACAGAGAGAGTCATCAACAACCCACAACAAGAAGACACTTCGTAAGTTGATCAATAACAAAACACTCTTAAAAAAAAATGCAACGAAACCAAATTATAAAATAAATATTGGGCAAATTACATATACACCCCTCGAGGTTTGGCTAAATTACAGATGCCCCCCTGAGGTTTGAGAAATTACGAATTCCCCCCTGAATGCTATATTTGCATAAGAAATTAGGGGGTAATTTGTTATGAAATATAAACCTCAGGGGGCAAATTGTTATGAAAATACAAACCTCAGGGGGCGGGATGTAATTTCCGAAACCTCAGGGGGGTATCTGTAATTTAGCCAAACCTCGAGGGGTGTATATGTAATTTGCCCTATAATATTTTGTTTTCAAAATGTTTTTGTAGGCTTGATTGTGGAATCATTGTTTGCTATATCATGAGGCAATATGTTTCCAACAACAACATAACGCCTACTTTTTCCAAGGAAAAATGCAATCAATTGAGAGCCGATATATTAACTATCTTCTTGACTAACCAACAAACTGCTCAACAACAAATAGTTGATGAAAACATTGATAATTTGCCTCTGCAATAACCAACAGATCTCGAAGAGAAGAAAATGTTTTCTTGTTTGGTTTTTACAGTGTTACAGTGTAACAAAAAGGAAACATTGATTCATTTGGTTGTTAGAAAGTGAATACTTCATACATTTTGCTTATTTGGTTGTTACAGTGTTACCTATATTTTAATCATTTGGTTCTTACTTTGCTTCAATGAATATTACAATGATTGGCTGTTACAATGTCAAATTTACGAATAATACACTAAATGAAACATTCAGTCTTTTCTAGTAATATTGTTACCAGATCTGACTTTTGATATCAGTCTTATTTTATGCAAATTTCATTCAAAATGTTGATTATAATCTAATTATTTGTGTCAAATTTAAGGGTTAATAACAAGTTTGGACCTCTTCATTATTAACATGACAATTTTTTTTCCATTCCTTTTGACACTGATAAATTTATCACTGTTCAAACAAAAAAAAATCAACAACTCTCTCTCTCTCTCTCTTTCTCTTTCTCATTCTTTTTTCCCAATTCAAGTAAACAAAACACTATAAAAAATAATAAAAAATTTACCAAAATTGAAAATTAAAATGCAAACACTATAACATTGTCCAAATTAGAAATTAAAAAACCGTTACAGTTTGTAGATATTTCCAAGTTTGAGAATGAATGTAAGAACATGCCATTCTGGGTATGACAGTGATAAATTTATCATTGTAAAAAAGATCATTTGGTTGGATATAACAGTGATAAATTTCTCAACCACTGACATAAATATAATAAACCATTAACTCTTCACATACAGTCAGTGGTAAATTTATCATTCTTGAAAATAACAAAATTCAGAAACTCCATTAATACTTGATTGCTTCCTTCAGACAATGGTAAATTTATCACTCCTACAAAAAAAAATCCACAACTCACCAGTGAAAAATTTACCACTATATAAAACACCAAAAACAGTAACTACATTTAACCAAAATCAAATAATATAAATCTATGAAACTTAATCTTGTAAAAATATCAGCAAAACATATAATTTCCGTTCAAAAAGTTCCTCAATCATTCAATGCAAGTACCGAAATGATATATCTTTCCAAAAATACTCAATCATTCAATGCAAGTAACACCTCTCAACTCTGAACAAACTAATAAAATCAATACAACTAAAGCAAAGCTTCTTTACATGTCTTCCGATTATGAGTTCCCATCTTTTCACACTTACTGCACCTAATTCCCTTGATTTCGCTCTTAGAAGGTATTTTCTCTGTTCTTGGGCGTCCAGCTGGTCTCTTACAAAGAAGAGGTAAAACAACGTCATCATCAACAACTACATTTAGCTTCCACACACTTGGAACTGGATAGATACAATGCAAATAAGAATCACAATAACTACGAACACGATAGTAATCATCAAGAAAACAATTCAGATCCTTCGCACTCCTCTTTATAGCACAAAAATCATGTTTGCAAGGAAAAGAATCAATTTCCCACAATCGACAAGAACAAGAATATTTCCTAATATCAACCATAACTGAATGATCCAATTAGATTTCATAAATATCATCGCTACATTTCTTAACTATCCATGTCTTTGTATCATTAAAAGTTTCTTCCAACTTTTTCCTTGTAAAAGGACAAACAATAGGATTCCATTTATTCCCAAGTTCTCTCCTTTTTGAAAATTGTTCCATTAGTTTCAGTCGTATAGCATCAACAAGACCAGTTGAAAACAAATGGTGCTCATCCCTAATCCATGAATTAAAAGATTCTGCAGCATTTGTGCACATTCCACCATACTCTTGCCTTGAAAATAAGCGTTACACCAACACTCATTAGGCAAATCCTCAATAAACTTCTAAACACTACGACAACAACGACCTTTAAATTCTTCAAATAGCTCATTAAATAACTCAATAGTTGGAGTATTTGCACATCTACTAAAAAGAGTAAGCAAATACTCTTTAGATTCACGACTCTTCACTGACAAATAAGTCTTCAAGTTTGTCTTCAAATGCATCAGACAAAAAGAATGAAAAGAAAACGGAAAGACCTCAGCTAAAGCCTTCAGCAAACCTCCATGCCGATCAGTAACAAACGCAATATCCCTCCCCGGAGTCAAAATAACAAATAACTTTGACAAGAACCAATGCCAACTGTCATAACTTTTACTATCAACAATGGCAAAACATAACTGATATAAACCTACAAACAAAATATACACACTTTATCAGTAACAAATAAAAAAGATTACAAAACAATAGCAAAACGCAAAGTATATAACATATAACACTAACTATAGATAAATTTATCACTGTATAACTAAAAAAAATCAATAGCAGCATACAACATATAGAATCAATGCATAGTAATTTATCATTATATAAATATAAAAATTTAACAAAAGTATACAGTATAAATTTATCACTAATAGATTGACTGTTTTATCAACACTCACCAGTAACAAAAATGATAAAATTATCACTGTTTTAATAATAACAACAAATAGACACAGAATATACCTTGGTTACCATCTTTTGCCGTAGCAGCCAATAAACAACCTTTGTGTCTTACTATCAAGAAAGTTCCATCAAGCATCAACACAGGCCGACAATACTTAAAACCATGAATACATGCCCTAAAACTGAAAAACAAGCATTTGAAATGTCTTCCTTTACTATTAACATCAAATTCCATATCAAAAACACTCCCCGGATTACAATCATTAGCGGCATCAACATACCAAAATGATAATGAATAGTCACCAAAAACAACACCCCTTCCTTTTTCAACACCCATCCAAGCTCGCCGATAAGAAACTTCTGTTCCATAATAATCCTTGAAATCACAAACCACCTCACTAACCGATGTCAAAGCCTTGTTACGAATCTCACTTGAAATTAGCCTATTAATCATACTCGAAGTCATCCTAGCATATTTAACTGTACGAAAAGAAGATCCACACATATGAACATCATCAAATTGTTTAATAACAAAAGCTTTACTAGAATTTTCCACTCTAGCATGCATGCTCCATAAACATCCCAAATCAGCCCTTCTCTTTCAATGAACAGTGACACGATCCTTGCCATTCTTAACAAAATCAAAATCAAAACCGAAATGAATAGAATATTTTGACAACGCATCTCGAAATTCAACAACTCTTTGAGCAAACCTTTGTCCAACTCCATTCATACAATTAACTCAACCATCAGAGAGCAAAGGTTTCTGTTGATTTGAATAAAATAAAGGCAAAAAATCAGTTATTACTAGTTTCACCATCACAAATCATATAACCTTCACCCAAAGAACAACACTTAACAAAAATATCAATACGATAAATATTACAAGAAAGTGCGAGTCCAACCATAACCTCCAAATCCTCTTCACTTTGTAGACCACAACAAGAATGTCCAGGCATTGAATATAATAAATTCAAAGAACTACCAACTAACTCACTCCACTTTGCACATAATTTATATACTAAATTCTTGAAATTAAATCCATCATTATACTTAGTAACCAATGTCACACCTCTACACTTGCGCATAAGAAACAAAGAATTCTCCATCACTATAAATCCTACAACAAACAACAATTATATTTCAGCAAACAACTCAAACAACCTAAAACAAAATCTAATACAGTGATAAAATTATCAACCAACTCAAACACATCCAAAAACCAACAGTGATAAATTTAACAATTAACACTACCAAATAACCAAGAGAATGGAACAGTGAATAAGGCTTACACTACCAAAATACTCAGTGATAAAATTATCATTGTAGAAAATAACAAACTAGCACCTGTGTTCAACCAAAACAATTTTGTAACCAAAAAAAAATATAAAATTCATTACATATACATATCTCAAAGCTGTCAATATCATGATCAAAATACAAATTAATCGCAAAAACAACAGAATAATAACAATATCACAACAAAATCAAAATCACCAACTCAAACTAAAAAACACCAAAACATCGAAATTGAAATCAAAATCAAACATACCAGTCGAGCTCCGTCCACAAATCGCAAATCACAAAATCTAACTATAAACCAAATGCAAAATCGCAAAACAGGAAGGTTCACCAAGCGCAAAATCACAAATCACAAATCACGAAGATACACCAAGCGCGAAATCACAAATCACGAAGCTTCACAATAATGCATTAGCAAATCATGAAGTTCCACAGAAATCCAAATCACAAGCCCATACTCACAGTACAATATTTTGATGGCAAAAATAAAAAAACAAACGCGCCAAAAAAAGGGGAAAAAAACAGGAGTAAAACGGTACAAAAAAAAAAAAGGCTCAGGACCTGTTAGTGCACAAGAGCAATCTTTAGTACTAAGAGGGGAAATTTTTTTAAAAAAAAAAGTAGGACTAGCCAGTAAAAAATCCAAAATTTATTGGTTAGTCCACGACACCACGTGGTCATGTACCAGTTTAATCATAAATTTTTTTACCTCTTTATATTTTCTTATGTTGTGTTTGATTAGGAAATTTGAGAAGAGATTTAAAAAGAAAAAAAAAAATAGGTGAAACATAAATAAAATATACTTACATTTCACCTAATTTTACACACTTTTTCCTTTTCCCTTTTCAAATCTCTCATTAACGCTATGTTTGGATTGAGTGATTTAGAAAGAAAATAAAAGAAATGGAGAGATATGTATTTATTTTCTTTGTTTGAATTACTTAAGTGGAGAGAAATAAGGAGAAATTGAGGGAAACTCATTTATCTTATAACACTCATTTTTAATCTTCCCAAAAATAGAGAGATTGGGAGGGAAAAAAAACCACTAGATTTTTATATTTTCATAATACCAATTTTGTCCTTATAAAAATAAAAGAAATAAAATGATTGACAATATATAAAAATGTTATTTTGATAATATAACATAAATCAGTTTCTTTTTTTTTTCTCTTATAAAATCTAACTAAACAAGAAGGAGAAAAATTACAATCATTTCTTTTATTTTATTTTTTACTTTTCCAAATAAGAATAAGAGAAATCACAATCATTTCTTTTCTCTTATAACTTAAATAATCATTTTTTTTTCTTCTCTTTCCTAAGTTCCCAAACATAGTATAAATCTTCTAACCCAACACAATATTAATAAAAAATTGTAGGCGTACTTTTTTTCACCAATCACAGTACATTTTGGTCCCTACATGGTCTAAGTAACACTCATCAACCATAATCCTACACGTGGAGATTGAAAATTGTTATTTACCAATTGTTGTATTGAACTTTTTTTTTCCCCCTCTTCGTAGATCCTCGATTGAGTTCTTCCCCTGGCCGTGCCACGAACAACAGATCGTAGAAAGAAGAAGAAGCACTAAAAAAAACCCGGTTCGATTTGATTTCAGGTTCGGCAATGGTGGGAGCGTCAAGCTCATGGTCTCGAGCGATGCTTCAGATCTCACCTTACACCTTCTCTGCTCTCGGTATCGCCATCGCTATCGGCGTCTCTGTTCTCGGCGCTGCTTGGTATATCAATCTTTATATTTATTTACATTTTTTTTTTAAATTACTGACACCTTGATTTTGGCGATATTGTCTTCAGGGGGATTTTCATCACTGGGAGTAGTTTGATCGGTGCGGCAATCAAAGCTCCACGAATCACTTCGAAGAATCTCATTAGGTGAAACCCTACCTCTCTCTCTATATATATATGTGTGTGTGTGTGTGTGTGTGTGTGTGTGTGTGTTTACCTTTATTGGAGTAATAATTAGAGTTTCATTCAGAATTGCTAGTTTATAATTAACCCTTGGATTGAAGGAAAAATTGGTCTTAATTTTGATTCAGTGTGTCAAATATGCTGTGTTTGATTTATAAAAAAATATAAACTTTCAACAATTTTGACTTTGGTTCTGTGATCAAATCAAACTTTATGACATTCTTGCTTTTGAATGTAGAGCTCTCTTTTGAAGTTGCAAATCTTACAAGTTATGCTACCACTGGTTTTCTCAAAATGAAAGAGCCAGGGTGAAGGCGCAAGTATTAAGAAGCAGCATAGCATGAAACAGTCAAACCGATTAGAAAATTTAAGTGACAAAAATAACAAGAAAAACTGTGTATTTTCTTGACTTAGAAGGGATGTGTAAGATTTTTGGACTAGGCAGTAATCGGTTTAACCTCATAGGCAGTAATCAAGCCATTTCTTGGTCTGGTTCATGGCTCAAACATTCATAATTGCTTCCCCTTGTGTCAATCAAGGGTTAAGCTTAGTTATTAAGTGCCTAAACACTTGTAAGGCTTCCTAACTTCACCCCCACCACCCATACACACATTACAGTTGGTGGTTGTGTTGGGCTAGAGTGAGGACCATATACATGAACCTGTCTGACCAATCAAGGTTTTGACGGTCAAGCTAAAAGCTTTGAAATGGGATGAAGTCAACTACAGACCACGATGAGGGCACAATGGTATGCACTGTGCTTTCTTGAACTTGATAACTTTGAATGACTTCAATCGATACTCCTTGAGATTGTAATTTGACTTGAAAATCTTTTTATGCTGTTAGTGTGATCTTCTGTGAAACTGTTGCTATTTATGGTGTAATTGTGATTTAAATCAGTCACTCATATCCGAGAAATTTTGTATGCCAATAGGGTACCATGTGACACTACCTTCCACTAATCACAAATGTATATGCCTACTATTGTTCCCCAAACACTAACATAAATGTAGTGGACCCTATTGTCAAAGCCAATCACAATAATAGAAGGTACCACATGGTATGTACCCTATCCGCATACAAAAATTTCTCTATCCTCATATGAGCTTATTTATGGGATATGCCTATTGAGATTGTAATTTGACACCATTCCTTGTGCTTTCAGTGTGATCTTCTGTGAAGCTGTTGCTATATACGGTGTTATTGTGGCAATTATTCTACAAACAAAGTTGGAGAGTGTTCCCCCATCACAAAGATATGAACCTGAATCTCTTAGAGCTGGTTATGCTATCTTTGCCTCAGGGATTATTGTGGGTTTCGCAAACCTCGTCTGCGGGTTTGTTCTATCATTTATCTCTTTCCAAAATCACCCCTAATCATATAGCAGTCTCTTCTTCATTTCTGTGAGTTCTAATCTCCGTTTATCAACTTCTGCTTGGTACAGGCTGTGTGTGGGAATTATCGGAAGCAGCTGTGCATTATCTGATGCCCAGAACTCATCACTTTTTGTGAAGATTCTTGTGATTGAAATCTTTGGTAGTGCCCTCGGGTTGTTTGGAGTAATAGTCGGAATAATCATGTCGGCTCAAGCAACAAGAAAGGGCAGACTGCATTACCCTTTTCTCTCTCTTCCTTTTGGCAGTTTGAAAACACATGGGCATGTCCCTCCGCCCATGCTCCCATCATTTTCCTTTTTCATATATATATTTATTTCACCAATCAATACCACTTTTTTTTTTAATTTCTTAATTTATTTTAATAACATGAGTGGTCTCCCTTTTCCACCATCTCCCTCTTTTTCTACACAATATTTTTGTACCACCGCCCACTCCATGATAAATACCATTTTAAGGAATTTGACAGGAGATGTTAATGCAAGGGAACAATTTCTGGACTTTTTAAGTTTTAAAAAGTCTAAACAGACATTCATTGATTACAAAATCAAACATAATCTTCTCTCATATGAGGTAGATTTCACTTTTTTGTCAGCTTCCACACTTATATGAGAGAATTTAGTTGATTCTATAATTATTTTTTGTACAAGTAAAAAAATTATTTAAGTTTTTAACACACAATTTTAAAAATACTTTTGCATCTCAGATGGGATGTCAATGCAGTTGAACAACTTCCAGACTATATGAAGATATGCTTCCTTGGTTTATTCAATACCATTAATGAAATGGCTTATGTCACTCTTAAGGAACATGGTGTCCATATCCTCCGATACCTTAAAAATAAGGTACCCACGTCCTTTTTTATATCTTATTTAAGCAAACTAACATATAATTATTTGATCACATTCAAGCAAATGTTGTATATTAGCTTACTAAATCCATGCTCATTTACTTCTTGTGTCAATTTGATTCTTATAGTTCTCATGATATCAATTTTATCTTGAAAATTTTCAAATAGTGTCAATTAAATCTAATTGATAATGTCCATTTGAAAAATAGAATGAAAAGGGACAAAATATTTCATTCATTCTCTTCAAAGTGATTGAAGGGTTGTCATCTAATTTAAAATGATCTATTTCTTTTCGAATGGGTCATTTCGTCCTTTTTTTTCTATTCAATTTCTTAATGGATGTTATTAATAAGACTAAATCGACACAATATAAAAAAAAAAAAAAAATTGAAGAACAAAATCAATACAATTTAAATTACAAATTTGAGTAAAAAATGACTCATTTTACCAATTTGATACCACTCGCTCCAACGGTGCACTTTCATCAAATTTGTGCCAGGGTCAACCGGTTGGTTGACCTTAAGGGAAAAATTTTTTTTTTTTTTTTTTTTGAACTTTTTGAACCTTTTAGTGGTCGACCGGCTGGTCGACCGGTTAGGCAAAAAATTTATTTATTTATTTATTTTTTACTGTTTGAACCTTTTTCTTCGAACCGTTTGAACCTTTAGGCGGTCAACCGGTTGGTCAACCGGCCGGGCAACCGGCTGGTTGACCGGTTGGTCTCTCCCAACGGTTAGGAACAGTGATTTGGTAAAATGCTTCGCCTGTTCTCATTTTGGTACAAGATTTGCTGAATTCTGGATTTGATATCGATTTGGTGAAACCGTTGGAGCTCAAAAAAGTGACTTTTTCATCAAATTTTGAATTTGATATCAGGTTTGCTGAAGCGTTGGAGATTGTCTAAACGAATTAAGATAGATATTAAGAAATGAAAAATGGTTGAGACCATTAAAAGTGATGCTCTAGTAGCACCATTAATAATGTGACATCCTTTTTTTTTTTTTTTTTTTTCTGACATTCTCAATATATTAGTGCTATTAATAGTCTTTTTTTTTTAATGGTATGAATCATTGTTATTAAATTTTTTTTTTCAAAAAGTAATATATTTTATATGAAAGGTTGTGTATTAAAAAAAAATCAACTTTTTTTAAACACGTTAAAAAGACTATAAGAAAATAATAACAATAATAACTAATTATACATCATATAGTGAGATTTATCATAAAAAAATATTTGGATTACTCACTTATGTTTTTATGTAATTAATTTTGTGGTCAATTTTGTGACTATAGACTTGTTCAAATAAAAAAATTAGGAAAATGACTAGTAGCTCGAAAAAAGTGGCCCGATTTTAGCTCGAATCGCAAAACGACGTCGTTTTGCGATTTTTTTTTTTTCGTCCTTTTCTTTCTCTTCCTTTTCTTTCTTTCTTTTCTTCTTCTTCTTCGTTGAACACAGGAGAAGAACAGAAGGGAAGAGGAGAAGAGAAGGAGAAAGAGAGAGGAGAGGAGAGAAGGGCCCCTCCTGTGCATCCGCTGCCGCTGATCATCGCAGTATCTCGGATCGTCGCAGTAGCTCTGATCGTCGCAGCCCCGCTCAGCCTCGCCTCCGGCCCCGCCTCCTCCAGCCCGATTTTGATGGCCCCCTCCCCTCCAGTTCTCCTCCTTCCTCCTCCTTCTTCTTCTCCAAATTCGAGCCTTCAAATTCGAGTTACGAATCGGAGTCGAAAAAATTATTTTGAGCAAACCACAAAATTATTATAAAAAATAATTCACCATATATATCACATGATGAGACTCATTGTTGACTGTTTGATAATTGTGCTCGCTCAGTGACACCCACTCCAACCTTTATTAGCTATAGTCTCTTTAGCATTTTTAATTTTTTGTATGTAATTATACAAAAATTATAAAATTTATTATATTTTTTCCAAAATTTAAATCTTAAGAAAAATTAGTTCAATTTACCCAATTAATAAAGGGGTTTTTTTTTTAAGATCCCTGGTATTATGATTTTATAGCATAAAGGACACCAAATATTTTCATAATGTCTAAGGTCCCTCAACACGTGCAGATTTGATGAAACTCTTCAGGTGTGATGGAGCAAAAAAGGGAATTGAGAGCCTTACTATTCCAACTCGAATTTTGATAATCGAATGCATCCCATTTATCAAGAGGTTTGGAAATATCAACACCATCAATAGTGACAACAAGTTCACTCCACCCATATATCACACAGTGCCAAACTTTCTCATTGATAGATTTTAAAAATGTTCTCATATGAGTTTTCCAATAAAAATCGTTTGTACCATCAAATAGTATAAACAAACCCTAGAAATGATCCAGTACAACTTAGGGCAAATAAATTTGAGAGAGAGAGAGAGAGAGAGAGGAGAGGTTGTACCAGATCAATGGAGAGAGGCAAGGTGGAGGTTTGGAGAAGGTGGGGTTGACGGAGCCAGGAGTTGACGATTTTCTGAGAGACGGTGTCGAGGCTGAGTCCGGCTCCGGTTGGGCTTCGAGTTGGTGGTGCGATTGATTTCTCCACCACCACCACCTCCCACCCAGCTCTTATAAGTGCGTGCGCACTCGCCACCCCTGCTATGCTTCCCCCCACCACCACCGCCTTCCCCTTCTTCCTCCCCCCATCACTCATCTCTCTCTCTCCCTCTCTCTCTTTCTCTCTCTGTGTATAGTATATTCAAGAATGGGAGTGAGTGAGTGACCTCTTTGAGTGCATGCTTTGATACTTTCCAAAAGCAAAAATTTTGAATTTGTCCTTTACCAAATCTAAAGATTATATTAAAATATTCTATGAATATTATATGGACTACTTAATTTTCAACACCAGTTGTCATGCTTTTACAACAATATTGTAAGTTGAAGAATATATTATTTGGAAACAGGGTTATGATGCAATGAAAGTTACTATCAAATTCCTTCAATAAAATTTGTTCTTAGATTTCTTCAAACTTGAAAAGTTATATTTTTAAAACATGATTTGTAATATATATATATATATATAAATTAAAAATATCAAAGCTTAGAAAATATATTTTAAAATATCATGATTTTAATAAATATTTTTTTTTAAAAAAAAAATCTAGTATTACCTACCTGTCAATTTCCATTCTAGTATATGTGTAAAACGTACTGAAATAAATATCAATATCAGTAAATGACTCCCAAAGCATATTGACATCCCATCAAAGAGGAGAAAATAATCAACATTTTTTTCTCCCGGTATTTGAATCCAGATATTCATGCCCTTGCATTGAACGCCAACAACAACAAAAACTAAAAAGCAAAAAAAACAAAAATCAGAATGTGTAAAGAATTCATATAATCTGAAGTCAAGGAAAACAAAGTTCACCCACTTCAGACAATCTATTACAGTGTTATAATCTAGAAAAACAAATATTCCTAAATTCTTCAATTCCAGTCTATCATCATACATGGATATATACAAGCACAGATTACAGAACACACACAATTCATGCTGATTATTGGTTGTGACACAATTCGTGTATAAATAAGGTGGAGGATTGGATTCACAAGCAAATGGAAGATATCGTCTACTCAAGTAGTATTGAAGGAACATCACCAAAGAACGGCATGTTTTTCTGCTGAAGCACTTCGCATTCCTCAGGACTCACCATCTTCGGATCAAAAGGGTTGCAATCAGAAACAACTAAACCTTGTTTGATGCGGCCCAATTTCCGCGAATGCAGTACTTGCTTCAAAGTGACTGGAAGCCTTATAGACTGAAATTCTCCGAGTGCAGAATGTAGATTTTCTGCTCCCCACTTCTCAAGGCACTTGCCCAAAGCTGCCGCGTCTAATATTGTCATGTTTGTGCTCCTTAAGCCATGAGGGGTTGTTGGATGAGCAGCATCTCCAACTAATACCACATTGTCCCAAAATATTTGTTCTAAAGGATCACAATCATATATGACATTTATAAAAGGTTCCTTTGTTTCTTTCATGACTCTAACCAATTCTGGAACCCAAACCTTCTCTGCTTCTTCATGCATTTTCTTGATCATGTCGCTGCTTACTTTCATGGTCACTGAATTCCCCTGCATTCATTTTTTCCGTTAGTAAGTTCAAATTGGTTAGACAACAATTCAGTCTGTGTATTAAGCTGAAGGAATTGCATTAATTTATTATTAAATCAATCCAACATCATTACACTGTATTTTCCTATGAAATTGGGCAATAACCTTGTCTTCTATGTGCATCTATGCAAACTCTAAAACATTGCCTTTATGCACAAAACTTGCTTTCTATTTTCATCCTACTCAACTCTCTCAGGGATTTCACCCGGGTGATAATAAAACGAGGTTTTTTCATGTTTTGGAGAGCATTAAATCATAATAGGATAAAAAGTAAATATCTTCGCATGAGATAAGATAAAAATAAAGAATCACCTTAAGGTCTGGCTCTGGTTGGTTCACACTCACATAAGAGGCCATTAGATGAAAATGAGACACTCGAGATGCGTGCACGCATGCACGCAAATCGAGGACCGATCCTAAGGCACCGAATGCCACTCTAACAAGACATGGCAAGGCATGGAATATGGCATACTAGCATGCAAATTTCAGTAGTAAAACAAGATGCAAAACAGCCCCAAAACATGACAATATGGCACCCGATGCATGAAATGAGACCCGAAATGCAAAACTAGGTGCACGCAATGGCCTACAGCTATGCAAAGCATGCATTATTTGAACATGAAATGTAAATAAAGACTCAAGAAAGTCCCAAAAAAAGCATCTTTACAGTTGTAAGTAAGGCCAAACAGCGAACACAAATAGGGCTAAACCGATATGCAAAAATGGCCCTAAATGTGAGATAAAGAAGCAAGTCACAGCTTCTGGCCCCAAACAGAATAGGGTCCTTCAACAATGTTGAAGAGGGACCCAAAACATGGCATTTTACAGTTTACAACCGAGCCCAAAACAGTGCACAAGCATGCTCAAAATACTATGCACAACAAGACCAAAAAGAGAGCTATAACACAAAGTACAAAAAGGATGCCTCAAACAGTAAAAGACCCTTAATGAAACATGAAGAGGGGGTCAAAATAAGGCCATTTATAGTTCGTACCAGATCCCAAAAACAGAAGCACAAGAGGCTAACAAATCATGCAAAAATGAAGCCAAAAGAGGGATACAAAGGCAAGTGGAAAATGGAAGCCTCAAACAGTGATGAGCCCTTCAACAATGTTGAAGAAGGGATCAAAATAAGCCACTCTACAGTTTATGACATGCCTCAAAACAATTTATACATAGGCCAAAAATACTACACAAGAAAATGGCATACAAGAGAGGCAATGAAGCAAGTGCAATAAGGAGGCCTCAAACAGTGAGAGGCCCTTAAACAAACATGAAAAATAGCTCAAAATAAGCCTAGTTCCAGTTAGGGTCGGAGCCCAAAACAGCAAGCAAGCATGGCTAATGTATTGAACAAAATAAAGCACAAAAAAGGAGAATAGGGACTCACCCTTGAAGACCAATCTTTGACAGCTCCTTGGCTTGAGTTTGGTGGCTCCTTAGCTCTGAAAATAGCCCTGAAGCTGCTGGAATCGATGATGGTGATGTGGTGCTAGGTGGTGGTGTGGAAATGGTGTAGGGCTTAAGGGTTTGGAGCTTGGAAATATAGAGAGAGAGAGAGAGAGAGAGAGAGAGATACATGGCAAGAGGCTTGGGGGCAATTTTTGTAACCCTAAATATCAGCTGGAGGGCCTGCTATATAGGCAAAAGAGGGGGGAAAAGGGGGGAAAAATGGAGGGAAATGAATCAAGTATCCCCCCAAAAATACAACCCCCCGGATACAGAATCTGGGGGGGAAAAGAGGGTATATCTGCACTGTACTTGATGCAAGGATTCTGGCCGGCCAGTTATTGAGATTGAAGGTGGCCGACCGGCTTTCCCCATGGCCGGCCGGCCAAGGGTCAAAATGGGCAATCAAGATTAGTGGCCGGCCACCACAGAAAGAGGGCCTCTCATGTGTGCACAACACAACCCTATGGTCAAAAACTGGAGAAAGTGAACCAGGAGAGAGAACAACCCACTTTTCAAAGGGGTTCAAAAGCAATTATTGGCCGGCCACCAAATATTGGTGGCCTTCCACATGTGTACATCACAAATATGGGGTTTAGGGTGCAAGAAAATGGCCCAAGGGTGGTCAACATTGGCTTTGAACTGAGAAAATTCGGGCGACGGAGGGCGATGAAGGGATAAAATTGGCTGATAGGACAATTACTGGCCTCCCATCCTTCTATGACCTTCCTAGCAATGAAACAGAGGTTCCTACCAAAAATGAACCAAAACCGATGCAAAATGAAGGTTCGGGGGCCGGAACGCGCAACCTGGGGCCCCGAAAACTGACTGTTAAGCACCGGGAGTGGTGTTCGACCACGAAGTTGGTCTCTCGGACCACAGTTTCCCTCAAAAGGGATCAAATAATATGTATGCCAGAAACTGGAGCAAACGGAGGTGGTTAAGCGGTCCCGAACCGAGGCACACAGCCAACGGCTCCGAAAAATTGAAAACCGGACTCCAAACGGGCAAAACGACCTACGACCACGAAACGTAGCCTACGGCCACTGAGAGATGATCTACGAGACCTCTCCCTCCCTTCGGGAAGAGAAAATAGAGAAAACAGAGCCTGGTTCGCAAACCGAGGCAAAGCACAAAAGAGTCCGAAAGTCTGGAGGCAAAGCTCGCAGCCGAGACTCTGAAACTTCTGAACGAGCACGATATGCAACATCACCAAGCGCTCCATCGGTGACGTCTGAGTCTTAAGGTCGGTCAAAAATGGGGTGTCTACAACCCCAGAAAGGTGGCCTCCCAGATGAGTGCAACACAGCTGTATGGTGGAAAACCAGAAAATGTGACCCAGGAGAGAGAGAAAAACTAGCTTTTTAGGAAGGTTCAAAAGGGTCAAGAAGAATTACTGGTCGGCCTACCCATATTGGTGGCCTCCCAGATGAGCACAACACAATGGTGGTATGAAAAGCCAGAAATTGTGGCTCAAAAGTGAGAAAAACCAGTTTTCTGTCAGAAAAATTGGCTTTAGGAGAGAGAAAAAGAGAAAACCGGTTTCCAAGGGGAAAAGGTGGCCTCCCACCATACTACCACCTCCCTAACAATGAAAATAGGGTCCCTACCAAAAATGGACCAAGACGAATGCAAAACGAAGGTTCGGGGGCCAAAACGCGCAGTCCGGGGCCCTGAAAACAGGCTGTTAGGCACCGGAAGTGGCGTATGACCACGAAGGTGGTCTCCCGGGCCACAGTGTCCCTCTAAAGGGAGGAAACAAGGTGTGTACCAAAAACCGGAGCAAACGGAGGTAGTTAAGCGGTCCCAAACGAAGGTAGTTAAGAGGGTCCCAAACCGAGGCACATGGCCGACGGCTCCGAAAACTAGAAACTGGGCTCCAAATGGAAAAAATGGCCTATGACCACGAAACGTAGCCTAAGGGCACTGAGAGATGGTCTACGAGACCTCTCCCTCCCTTCGGGAAGAGAAAACAAAGAAAACAGGACTTGGTTCGCAAACCGAGGCAAAGCACAAAAGAGCCCCGAAGTCCGGAGGCAAGGCTCACAGCCGAGACTCTGAAACCTCAGAACGAGCACATTATGTATCATCACTGAGCACTCAATTGGTAACGTCTGAGTCTTAAGGTCGGTCAAAAATAGGGTATCTACAGTTAGGAAGCTAGTCTAGGAACTGAACAAAAAGAAGAAGTGGTTATGGCATCAAAAATCCAGACTGACATGGTCAGCCAATGGGGACAAAAATACAAGGTTCTTTCATATCTTGGCTAGTAGTAGGCAAAGGAAAAATTTGCTAGATTCTGTCAACGAGAATGGTGTCATCTATAATCAACCAGATGTTATGAAACAAGCACTGGTGAGATATTTTAGCCAGTTGTTTTCTAATGATTGGAAGATTAGGCCAAAACTGTCAAGGGCATTTGTCTCAATTGGTCCTGAGGAATCAGAGTTGTTAGAGGCAGAGTTTTCAGAGGAGGAAATTTGGGAAGCAGCCAATGATTGTGATGGTAACAAAGCCCCGAGGCCTGATGGGTTTAATTTATCTTGCATCCAAAAATGTTGAAATATAATGAAAAGGGAGGCAGTGTAACTTATGTCTAATTTCCATTCTAACGGTAAGTTGGCTTGAGGTGTGAGTAGTTCATTCATTACTCTAATTCCCAAAAAAGATAATTCCTTAGGTCTGAGTGATTATAGGCTTATTAGTTTGGTAAGTTCAGTATACAAAATTGTTGCCAAGGTCTTATCTAGAAGATTGAGAAAGGTACTTCCAAAGATTATTAATGAAGTGCAATCGGCCTTTTTGAGTGGAAGGTGTATCCTGGATAGGGTGTTATTTGCCAATGAAGTGGTAGATTAGTGGAAGAGATCAAAAAAATAAGGCATCATCCTTAAACTGGATTTTGAGAAGGCATATGATTCAGTAAATTGGGAGTTCTTGTATTCAATGTTGACCAACTTTGGTTTTGGAGAGAAATGGATGAGGTGGATGAAAACATGTATCTCTACAGCTAGAGTCTCAGTGCTAGTTAATGGCAAACACACAACAGAATTCTCTCCAATGAAAGGCCTCAGGCAAGGTGACCCACTTTCACCTTTCCTTTTTAACATTATTGCAGAGGGCCTTAACTTATTGATGTCAAGAGCTAAAGAAGTGGGTTTGATAAAAGGAGCTTCGATTGGTCCAAATGATCTGAGATTATCTCACCTTCAATTTGCAAATGATACCAACATAGTTTGTGAATCAGATTGGGGGAAATTATTGCTATTAAGCAAATTCTTAGATGTTTTGAGATATTGTCTAGTCTTAAAATTAATTTCCACAAAAGTCAGGTTTGTAGAATAGGTGTACAAGATGATTTAATAAAAGAATTTGCAAATAGGCTCCATTGCCATAGCCAAAAGCTGCCTCTGAAGGGGGTGTTTGGTGGGGCTTTTTTGAGCCAACTTATGGTTTCTGGCTTTTAAAAAGTTATTTTGGACTGTTTGGTTAAACTTATTTTAAACAACTTCTGATTCTAACAACTTATTTTAAGTCAAAAAAACTGATTCTGAGAAGCTGCTCACCCCTTGCTTCTGATTATCAGCTTCTGCTGTGGAGATGTTAATTCACAGTTATACTCTTAAATTTTTTATTTTTTATTTTTTTAAAAATAGAAAAAGACCCAAATGGACTATAAAATATTTTTTTTATGAGAAATGTAGACAAATAGTGAATAATAAAAAATAAAAATTAATTGAAAAAGCTACTTCACAACTTATTTAACGAACACTACTCAGCAACTTAAATCTATAATCCACCAGTTAACAACTTCTGATTAAAGTCATAATCTATAATCTGTTAAGTTATAATCTATAATCTGTTTTAACAGCTACACCAAACAGCACCGAAGTATCTAGGTCTGCCTT